TATCACTTTTCATCTTAAAATGACTCCCTGCATTCGAGTTATAATAGATAAAAATCTATGTCTATCTAACGAATCACAGATATTTATAATGGGAAATACTAATAAAATATCGAACCCAATTCCATGACCAGCTAGGTTCTAATGCAGGATACAAAGAAATTACTTGTATTACATTAAGAAACAAAAAGAAAATCAAAAGTGTAATGGTTATTACCTTATTAACATAAAATTAAAGCACCTTGAATGCATAATTAAATGAAAATATTAATGGATTCATTTTTAGAAAATAATTCCTTAAATTAAAGTGTCTTTTAGGCATTTTCTTCTGTCACTCTGAAGAGTTCTCTTCACTGCAGGTTAGAAAACAAAAACTAATATTGATATAAAATCCAGTTTATGAAAATAGCGCACAATAACTGCAAAGTGCTATTAGCATATTTACATTTCAAGTTCCATTTATGTCTCTAATTAAGCCTATACACAATCATAACTCTTGCATAAGACAGCACAAAATTAAGTATACACATAAAACACAAAACCAGAACAGAGTGCTACCAGTGTTGCATGTGTTATGCACAAAGAGACAGGACGATAATGCTAATATCACCGCAAGATATGTGAAAGTTGATTCCAACAATTGCACTATTTCATAATATAAGCAATTCCAGTTTCACACTCTGGCAGAAATACAGTGTGTGCAACATTCCACCACTGTATTTCAAATGAACTATAACATGATTACATTTGTATTTTCACAGATAAAGCTGAACAAATCAAGGGACACTACGTTTTAAATCAGTCATTTGTGGCGTTATTAAATTATTTTTAAAAGACACAATGTAAACAAAATATTTTTTCCACTAGGAAGTGCCTTTGGGCTCATTACAGCACTTAATTTATATGCACATAATTTACACACTATCTCTGTGGGTTTTGTGGGTCATTCACACAGAAATAAGAGCCAAATAGTCTTATAGGAAAGTGAGCTAGAACTACAAAATCACAAAAAATAGCCTTATTCACAAAATAATCAAATCTACTTTTAGTTTTTTTAATTGATTACATCAAGGATATTAATCTGTGAGTACTAACAGTGTCTCATTCTCCCTGTAACGAGGGCAGGGGGAGGAGGCAGGGGGAAGCTGGGTGCAAGAATTATAGTCTTAATGAGACTGAATAAGTAAAAAAAAGCTTATTAATTCCCAGTACTGATGATGTCCCCCATTAGAAGTATTTCCCTCCTCTGGCCCTTTGCATTACTTCCATGAAGTCATGCTATTCTCCTGAATGGTAGGCTACTCGACGGTATGTGCTGTTCAGACAGGTTTCTTTCCAAGAGATGATAACAAAACCCCTTAAGTATAAGTAGTACATATTAATGCTAGAACTAACGCCTTAACAGATGAATACAGAAAAGAAGGGAGTTCTATACCAGCTCCTCCCTCTACCAAGACAGTTTTAGTTACAGACCTTGGTCACACTGGTGGTCAGTAATGATTCTAAGAGCCAGACTGTAGAAAGATTGGTTTCTTGCAGAATTGAGTAATTTAATCTGTTAGCACTCTAATGTCCCTGTTTCCACAGACATCACTCCTCTGCCATAGTAATAACTTACATATGTAGCAAGACCTAATGTTACATGTAATAGGAAAAATTATCTGGATCTCACGTTGCCCTTTTGGTTACTTCAGTTTACGCTTGCTGCACAAAGGGTAATGAGAGCGAACTGCTCCTCAGACGACCAGGCTGTCCTTCCTGCACCACAGAAAATGCAGACACAAGACAGCCCTGAACGGTATGAAAGGAGCAGAAGAAGCGACGCATGCCGTTCACCAGCAAACCTGCCCGACGCAGCCCGTGCCATCTCTCCTGCAGACTGGCAGGTGCCCACCCAAGGCATTCGTCCAACTGTGGTTTCACACACCCTTCTGTGGATCAAGCACGGCTGTCCCAGATTAGAATGGATGCTTTGGATGCAATGTACTCATGCACAGAAAACTGTGCAAGGAGAGTTCACGTTGAGTTTTGGGGTTTGCTCCTACGTATCTATCCTTCTTTCCAAATCCATTCTTTGTTTTCTTCACACTTAAGAGGCTAAAGGATTCAAAATGACCAATGAAACCTCAGTTTTGTCCTAAAAGCTTGACCCTTCGAGTAGTCAGTCTTATTGCAACAGCTTTCATTTTAACCCAATTTTCAAAGGAAACTGTGGTTATGCGGCTGCGCCGTCTGTACAGAAGCACACGTACTTATACTACAAAATTCTTCTACAAGTTTTGAACTCAACTAATTTCAATTAAAATGAGATATTAATAGCATGAAAGAAACCAAATTGCTACAACTGTGATGAAAGCAGGAAGCAGAGAAGAAAAATGCTATTGCTACTTAAATGATTTATGCAGAGAGCACTGGAAAACCCACCTGGGAAAGCATTGTCATCCATGTCTCTTCCACAAGAAAGGCTTCATGTGTGCAATTGTTCAGGCACAAGAAAGTCCACAGGAAACGAGGCTTTACTAACCATGCTGTTCGAAGAACTATTTATAATACAGTATCCACAAGAAAGCTAGCTTCTTATTTGTTAAACCGTTTTTTCTTTGTGGATTTCTTTTTCATTGCAATTGAATTGTCTGATTCTGACAGCTATATACACTTCACTAACTTTTTAGACACTGATATGCATTCTCCAACTATTCTCAGGAGTTTTGACTTAATTTCCCTGCGTTTTGTTCTTCTGTGTCTGCTTCAGCTCCTTCAGAGGGCAGAACATGCACCACAGTATGCATTTCGATGACTTTTGTGCCCCAGGGGCTCAGAGACTTGCCCATCTCTTTTCAGAATAAATGCAAACAAACCATCAGTTAAGAGACAGCTGCAATATCCTTCCAAAAGAACAACCTTTAAAAACATTGTTTACTTGTCTGAACACAAGATATCCTCCTACCCGTCAAAATACATGACTGATTGATGGGTAGGCAAAAGCACTTGCTTTGACAGAATCAGACTGGCATCAGTTTTCATGTTCTTTGCTGTCTGAACAGTACCAAGCTGATCAGACTTGTAATTCTTCTGAAGTACATCAAACCAAGCTAAAAAACTGCTGCAGTCCTTTCCTACACTGCACTTGTAGATTTGTCCAATTTAAGCTAGCGAGTAACAAATTCAACTGATAAAAATCCATTGTATAACCTGCTTTTTACAACCCCTGAAATACAGAAATCATCCAGCTACTTACAACAGCTTCATCTGGCAGGATGAGCACTGATCAAAAGGGGGCTGCAACTTACCCAACCATCACTTGTTTCTTAACTTTTTTTACTATTTTAATTGCCTGTTCCACAATGCTAGGTCTGACCAGTTAACCAAGAAGGCAGCAGGTAATAATATTCAAGAAAAATATGTAGGTTTATATCCAAGTGCAATTGACAATCACTGACCCTCCAAATGGCCTTTCTTATGCAGCTAATAACAGTAGCTTTCATAGTAGTAACATGCAACATATGTATTTGAGACACTTTGTATTAGGGGAAACTACCAAACTCCTTAAAAACTTAAGAAACTCTCACACAGTCTACCACCTCTTATACATTTCATATCTCAAATATTGAAAACCTAAAAATCTTAATAGTTAGCTTCAGTTGCTTTTTTAGTATACATAAAGAAAGAGGTATGATCTCATGGTCAGAGTATGAAACTGGAAATCAAAATATCTTACATCACGATTTGCCAAACCACACTATGAGAACTAACCAAAGTGTACCAGTCTTCCCCCAGTACAACAAAAGAATTTAATTTACACAGATTTGATCAATTCTGCTCAGTTAACGAAGAATATGCGAGACATTTGGCTGCTGGGAGTGAGTTTTAGAGAGCAGTAAAGCACATGTTTAGCTACATGTGCTTTAGCTAAAACCAATGGAAATTACTAGTTACTGAGAAACTCATGACTTCAAAATTTTTACTACTGGACAACTTATCTAGCCTTGCTAGAGAATGTTATCAGGTAAAATAGACACCAGTAACAGCAATAATTATAAGAAATAAGTATCCAGTTCTCCCTAGGGGAGCAGAACTTCCACAATTTACTTTCAAAAAGCAACGTATATCATTTATAACACTGTATTGAAGTAAAACACAGACTAGTGATTAGAAAAAATAAAAGCTAGCCAAGGCCACTGACCAATCAAAAAAAGTGCTAAAGGGAGGGAAATAGGGAGTTTTAATAGTTTTAATAGGGAGTTATATTTCCAGCTTTCAAAATGACAGAAGACTTGACAGAAATCTTGAGAGACAGGAGACTGAAGTCTGTGTATATACTGGTCTGACAGTTTAACTGAATCAACATTATCTAAAGAGGCACAAATGGTAAAACCAAATAAAGTGCAAAAAGGAATCTGTAAACTAACAAAGAAAACATTACAATTGGCTTTACCTTATCTTTTTAATTAATTCTCCACTTGGGTGTTTTTATACATTTTAGAATAAAAGCTAACAATCAAAAAGACACTTCTAATTTTTTTCAGGCCCCAAGTGACATGAACTTTTTCTTTAAACCAACAGTCTGGCATTTAAAGTGAAATCAATGGAGAAGGAAAAGGTAGCAGATGAACTAATGGGTATTAAGTATATGCTGTCCTCACATACTCAAACCTGTGTTTGCTATGCTTTTTATAGAAACATCTCCATGTAAGCTTTCAAAGCAAAATTAATCAGCTTTCTAGCAGGCCTTTATGAAAAAACACTACTGTGAGAGATAAAAACCAAAATAATGAAAAACATGGGTTGCAAAACAGAGTGTAACTAGAAGACTATTATTTTAACATGATTTCTTCCAAATCTCTCATGCTTGCCATGCAATTATCACAATTAATTTTATATTCCTTGGGAAAAAAGTTATCGATACATAAATGTCAAAACATTATCAATTCTTAATGTATGAACTGCCTTTTCCTTCTTGCAAGATGATGGCTACTTCTGGTATTTTTTTGCAGAAAAGCTTTAACGTTGTTTGCCAAATTAGTCATTTTATCTTCCATCAGCATCTGCAGTCAACTACTCCTTTATTTTCTACTTGTTTTCTAGTTATTAACTACTCCAGTATTTTCTTTGAATTTTATTTTAGGAGAGGAGGCACAAACTCGGAGAAAAGAGCTGTAAGTCCTGCAGTTTCAAATTCCTCTTGTAGCTCATCCAGCGTTGAATACTGTTTGACTTCAAACATCTCAAACCTACATTTTAAAAGAGGTAAACTCATGAATATGTCTAAGTTTTTCAGAATGTAATTATCAATTCTGTTACTTTTCTATCCACAACATTACTAAATTATACCTTTTATGCTGTGACTGTACTTTTGTCTCACACAGTACACTAATCATTTTCTCTTTGCATTTCTTTCCACTTGAGTTCACATCTACCTTAGAAGTTTTTTGAAGAATCAAGTACTCCTAAATGACAAAAAAGAACAAAATGTTAAGTGTCACCTAGTATCTTTGAAGTTCAGTAAAACACAAAAATCCGTAAGAAGCATACCGATTTTTTTTTCAGAACACAGCAATCAAACTCTGAACGTGCCCATCACAAAACTGCATGACTCCTTCTATTCATCAGATCTAGAGAACATGAATTTGAAAAGCTGAAACCTCCTTCTTCAGTATTACCACAAAAATCTGCCTAACGCATTGGCAGTTCCTACGTACAGACAAGAAGTGCAAAGCTTAGGTGTGCAGTAGGAGCACCACGTAGTCTAAGTCAAGGAAACAGCCAGGAATGAGCTAGAAATATGTTATTAATTTCTCATCACAAATTCTCTGTTTTCTGGAGCATTTAGGAAATAAAGGAGACTGAACTTAGGCATATTACAGTCAGAAAACACAGCTAATACAGGGGTATAATTACAGTGGGAAACAAAGCAATACAGGCCATGTGTCTGCGTATCACTGGTTTCTTTACCACAGAATAACTTATTTTTCTTAAATACAGAATGAAGTTATTGGGGCCTTCCTGGTCTCCTAATGATCAATCTGTTTCCAAAATTGTTAATGTTAGAAAAACACACACAAAATACTCAGACACGTAGGCTTCAGTGATAAATCGATAGAACTCGTCAACATTCATTGTTCCTGCACCTTAATGTTGTTCCTGTCACCCTGAAGAAGAATCAATATTATCTTGCCCATGAACATCAGTCTTCCAGTCAGCCTTAGATCTGAAGTCCATTTTTCCACAGTTTTAACATATTTTGCCTTCGCTCTCATATGATCTAAATGCAAAAGGAGCATCCAGATACCATCCTCTCTACTTGATCCTTTTGAAAAAGTATTTTCATTGCAAACTGTTGCTGATTGCTTAATGACACATTTCAGATGCTGCTGTATCCAAAGAATCAGATCGTGCACCATGGGTTCAGAAATATGCTGCTTTGCTTGTTCAAGTAATTTATCTTTCACGTCCATACACTGGGCCCTTGTAAGCTGGTCTGAGTTAACAGAAATATCTGGTAGAGTTGATGGATAATTGACTGGTAAATGAAATAACAGCTTTAAAAGTACATCTGTATCCAGTAGTTCTTTCACGCTGATTTGAATTCTAAATGTGATTCCATGCGTCTCTGGAAAGTGCAAAAAAATAAACATTAATAGTTTGCTTGAAGTTGAAATACGTACATATTATTAAGTCGTTATTTTTTTTAACAATTCAACTCAAATGACTGCCATTATATATAAAATAAGGGGGGTGAGGGGTTGCAACCAATGTCTCAAGCTATGCTTGCAGAGAATTCTGAAATGAAATATTTCCATACCCTACCAGAAGGAAAGTTATTAACACATTCTAAAAAGCATTCACACCTGTTGCCCCTTTCAAAGTCTAGACAAGTCAGTAATCATAGAATGGTTTGGTAATAAAGTACTCTCTCAGAAACGCTTAAGTCAGCTTCTATAGCTCAACAGCAGCAGCAAGGACAACCAAAAATGGAGACTTTTCTGGATGGACTCAGCACTGCCCCACCTTTGCTCCTGGAGAAACCTGTAGGACTTCGCCCATCAATATCAGTGCAAGGCTTGTACTGAACATTTTTTAAGACAACCATTTAAAATCACTTCTGTATTAAAAGAGAAATTTGGAAAGAAAAAAGTCAGGTTCTCTGTCCCCTACAATGTTCAGTGAAACTCTGCTTAATACTTGCCTGCCAATTTTTCTACAACAGTTGGATTGTCATAAGTAAAACATCTCTGTTGTACATTTGACCCTAGATACTACATACACATACAAAACTATGTGTCTATATCCCCACATACCTACTCAAAACCTGTGGCCAGTCTACTTCAGAACAAAATTATTTTCAGAGTGAAAAGAATACATACAGTACATAGCAGGAAGGGCAAAAGTCCACATCCTCCTGATAAATCACATTATCAATGATGCTGAATATGAAAGTTTTGTACAGTAATTCCTGCAATAAAACCTTCTTCACTAAAACATGTTTCACAGAAAAACAATCCAAAACTCCATAAAGTACAAAGCAGGGACAAAGACCTAACCTACTTTTGCTCCTCTGCAATGAAGAAAAAGGGTATCAGATAAAAGATGATCTTCTTCGCAGATGTTCTTTGTTTCACCCCTTTGATGCATTCTAAACACTTCTTTTAAAAAATTGCTAAAATGTCAGGTTGATTCATTCTACAAGGGCAGGCGAAGCCAGATTTGAAAGGCAGATTAGAGCAGAGCTGAGTTTCAGAGGAGCTCTTTTGAAGTGACTTGCCTTCACCACTCCCTACCTTATCTTACCTTCCTTCATATAACAGTCAGTTAAATTATGTCTGCTTAGTATTGCTGATGCCGCTAACCAACTGCAGTGCTCTCTTAAGATTTTGCATGTGAACCCTACTAAATAAGTGAAGAACCAAGAAGTGTTTTGGACAGACAGAAGCACTTTAGAAAGCTTAGCCAAGGGCTTGTTTCCGAACTGCCTTCCTGGGTCATACGAAGAACTCTAGAGAGTAGTCACAAATAAAATAAGCAAAGCCTCCAAACCCAATAACCAAACTCTAGCACTGCTATAAAGAAGTCTCCAAACATCTATAATCCATTGCTACCTAGATAGAAGCAAATACAGTGAATTAAATAAAATTATACCTAAACTACAGACATTACATGTCAAAGCCTTCTTCCCTGCCAATGGGAGTTGTCTCCAGTCTTCCAACCCTATGGAAGGTTCCAGGCTATCTTTAAGATAAGTTTATCCCTCAGAAACACAGCAGCCTTGGGAGAGACTCCAGTCTCCACAGCATCCACCTGACAGCACACAGCCCTTGCTCACCAGCAGCAGGTATGTATGACGACCTCAAGCCTTCCCATTCCAACCTTCTGCTGCCCTGACAAATGCTCCTTCATGGGCACCAGCAATAGCTCCTCTGCCATCATGCTAGGCTCGGTACACACAGCCACACACACAAGAAGAAAAGCCTCTGCTGCACCCGCTGTGACCCCCAGCACCCTCCTGGCCACCGTGGAGGGTCTCCGTGCAGACCTGAGCATCACACCGACAGGACCTGCCGACCCACCTCCTTCCAGCTGCCCCTTACACAGGACAGCCACACCAGGCACACGGCCAGCTGACAGCAAGCCGCGTTTGGCTGAACATCATTAACATTTTCATATTCCTGCCCATGAATCGCTTTACCTTAAACTATGCTGCCAATAAATTTTAAAATGCACAGCCTGTAAACAAGTTGAAGAATATTACTCTATTGCCAGCTCAATTACAGTGACAGAAAAACATGTTACCTTTCTGATAATCCTCCTAGGATTTTTTCACTAGCTCATCATAGCAGATCTCACCAACGCTGGAAGCGAGGGATAAACAGACAGACCAACCTCACCCCCTCGGCAAGGGCCTCCTGCTGCACTGACCATACTCTTAAACCAGTAACAATTTCACACCTTCCCCTGTGATGAGGAGCTAATCCAAAGGAAGCAGCGCAGCCTTGCGTACCAAGGTGTACCACCCTAAGCCGTCGTGAAAATTCTGCCCAGCCATGCTCACTTACATCTGCTTCAGACTTACTTTTAAAAAGGAGAATTGGTCCCAAATGTTCGTGGGGCTACAGCATCTAAAGTTTATTTAAACGTTCCAGCATCCATCTTCTGCACCAGCGCTGCACAGGCTGGCAGAACAAAGAGCAACACGCCCTCGCCCTGCACAATGAGGCTCTACAGGAACGTTTCCTTTGTTTGCACAGGCTATAAGCTCTGAGTTGGCTTCACAGCAAAAGGGTGATGATTTCCAAAATAAAAGACTGGGTATGACCATTCCGCTGGGCACTGAATGTGCTAGTGAGACTGAACCTGATATATTTTAGCTCATTTTCCCCCACAGTTGCATGCTTGTCAGTATATTTAGCTCTAGCACACTTCAGATTTTTCCTGAAGTTCCCTGTCAAGCAGACATCCCCCTCCTCTCCTTCCCAAAGGCATTTTATGCAACACATGCAGTCTATTTCTAATTTCAGAAAATGGCACCTACTATCATACAAGCCTAGAATACATAAATACATTTTTATAGCAAACTTGGTGAGCAAACCAGAAGAGAACAGATTAACAAGTAAATTACGGATCTCTATCTGTAACACTAATCTTCGTAAATAGATACGTAAGGTAAAATAGATAAGCTGTAATTAGTTTATTTAAATTCATCAAACACATTGCTTTTGATAAAAAACGTATTTTACATTCTGAATACTTTATTGTTAAATTCCAGAAAACCAAAGTTTTTAGCATACCAACAGACCTGCAAAAGCATTTTCTTACACTCCTCAAAACCATAAATCCCCAGTGGCTTCCTTTCTGACCTTGTGAATCTGCACACAAATTAATGTATTAGAGATAGCGTAACGTAACACTCCTACTAGAAGTTACTTCTGTGCACCTGTTTGTCAAGGACAATTTACATGGGTTGAAAAGATAAAGCAAATGTAAGCTAATGAATACAGCAAAAGTTATTTGTATACAAAATAAAGGATTCTGTAGCTCCAAGGTAAAAGAGAAGTAAATTCCCAAGTAAGGAAACTACTAATAGTTGTTGTTGTAAATAATCTTTTCAATTCCATCAGGAAACAACAGAGATCAGCCAGATATGCACAGCCCTAACACATCATGAACACAGCCTGGCTAAATGCCCTGCAACCTCACCTAACATGAATATAAACGTAATAGCCCGTTCCCATTGTACACTTGTGGCACTTCAGGTCCCAGGAAGGTTTCTAAGCCTTTTACATCCTGGCAACTTATAAATACAAAATAATTTTTCTGTATATGAAGCACAGAGAAGGATGTGGTGTATTTCTCTAATAGACTTGGAGGAACATCCATGCAACGTTCAGGTATGCTCACATTTAAAAAAAAAAATCTGTTAAGTCTGGATATTGTACTTTCAAATTATGCCTGAAATAACATTCCTGAACTTTCTGACTTTAATAAAATAAAACCCAGTCACAATATTTCATCAATCATATTTTAAAACTACCACTCTAAATACCAATTAAAAAAATAAGCTGGCAGTATTACCTGCCTACACTGGAGCAAGATGTGTGTAATGCAGATCTAGACACAAACCAACTCTGCTTTTAGATCACCCCAGTTAAATGTGCTCCATGCAGACACTAACATCTTCATCTCTCTGGCGCTGCCTACACACAAATTCCTCTTTTCAAATAACCACTTGCTGTTCTGTGCAGATCTACTTCAGGAGCTATTTTCAAATAAAAGTTTGAGGTGGATTCAATTGAGTTCTTAGGAACTTTTTAATTAAAATGAGTCACTTAAGAGCAGGCACATATAATTTCACACCACAGCAGCACAAAGTTTTTTTTCAGAGAATCACAGAAGGGCTGAGGTTGGCAGGGGCCTCTGGAGGTCATCTTGTCCAACCTCCCCACTCAAGCAGGGCCACCTACAACAGGCTGCCCACGGCAACATCCAAATGGCTTTTGAGTATCTCCAAGGATGCCGGGTCCACAACCTCTCCGAGCAACCTGTTCTAGTGCTTGGTTGCCCTCACTGTAAAAAAACAAAAGCATTGCCTTATCAATTCCAGTTCTTTTGGCCTGAACACACACACACAAAAACTGACGGCAGGCCACTGGATCCATTTTCAATAGCATTCTCCAGGACTCTACTGCAGTCCAAACAGCAGGAAGCTACTTGCTGGCCGTCACTCCACTGGGGAGCTATGCAGCATGCTGCAATAGCTCCCAGGACACCAGGGAGCAGTGAGTGATACAGAATATATGCATATTGTCTCTGTGTACGTGTGTGTATATACATCTATATCTAAATATATAGTTGTTGCATCTCTGGTAGCCACTAAGCAAAATTTACTTCTGCTCTAAAACTGAACAGGCATGCAACACTTGCATACTCCACCTGGCACTTTCTTTAAGGCTGACAGTAACTGATGTTGTACACTGAATTACTGAGATGTATTCTCCCTTGCTAAGGGAGCATCTTCACAGTACTGTGACAGCACAGGCTGCTGAAGTAATCTCTTAAAATGATGTTCTGATCAGTGGCCACCATGGCTGGTGCAGAACATGTGGAGTAAAGGTG